AAGCTATCAGACAAACAGGCTAAAAACACATTTTGCAATGCTTTTAGAGATGTCTGTCTAGAAATATTTCCAAAATGTGATAAAAAAACTATATCCATTGCTAATAGTAGTGATACGAAAAAAATATCTCTCCATGTCTCAACTTTCAGTATAAGACTTCAAAGCATCACTTAGGTTGCAATATTTACTGAACTTGTTCGTAAAAAACTCATAGCAGGATTACAAGATAAAGGTATATAGACAATATAGCAAACAAACGATCATTTTCCTTACGAATGCTTGAATCACCCAAATACAATGAAAAAACAGAAGAACAAGTTCGTATAAAAAAAGCTAATTGTCCAAAAGATGGATCTATCTTCAACTTTATGATCTGCCCACCCAATGATGAATCAGAAATCATCTACAACTGTCCTCTCTTGGTTGTTCCAGAAACGGAAAGTGTAAAATATGCTAACATAAGTAATGAGACAACCATAGCTGAATTCAAACTAGTAGAGACATTACTTCAAGAGGCTAGTATCGAAGGGTATAGTCTCTCATATCCATCTGAAAATTTTCTTGATAAATTTCCACTATCGTGTATCTCTCCATCATACTGTTCAATATGTAACTGAGAACATGATAACGATAATGCATATATTATTCAAAATAAAAAATCCTACAGCTTTTTCTGCTACCGGGCAAACAATGATAAGGAACCCACTCCAGTAAACCTTCAAAAAAATTTACTATTAGCGAAACTGCTTTGAATCGAGAACAAAAGCTTCCAAGTTCCATAAAACTAGAACAATCTAAAATTACAAATCCTAAGGATTACTTTATATAGGTGATCTAATAGATATGTGTGTATCTGAACAGAAATTTTCTCGTAATGAGATTTATGATGCAATTCAAGCAACAGTTGCCTATATTCAAATGACATCAAGATTATAGGTACTCAAAACAGAGGATATGAATGTTGGACTTTATTTTGATATGACACCAAAACTAGATCTTGCCAAATATGAAGTTAACTTAGTTGAGCTAGGAGGAGAGACGGTAAAGTTAATTAATTTAATAGATCAGACAGTAACCAAAGGTCTAATTCTCTACTGCAATATTAATTTTCTACCATATCCGCTAAATAGTCCAGCTTATGATACAAAGTTTTTTAATCTTTTCCTGGGATTTTTGGCTAAGCTAGCATTGAGAATTAACAAAGAAATTATGGACCTGATTTTCTGGCATGTAAAGAACGTAATCTGTAATGGGGATGAAAGACTTAATAAATATATTTGGAACTGGTGGACATATTTAGTGCAGAAGCCAGAAAAGAAGTCCCAAACTATCTTAGTACTAAAATCTACATTACAACAGTGTGGGAAAAATATCATCACTGATTTTATTGGTGATAAAGTTTTGGAATAACATCTTCATTTTGCAACATCAGATTTGGAAAAATTTTTTGGATGTTTTAATAGCGCTATTCAAGCTCGAAAGCTTATTTTTATGAATGAAACTGGAATGTCAAGTAGAGAATAGCATAGATTTAACAGGCATCTCAAATCACTCATAACAGAATGAATGGTAGCTATAGAACGTAAAGGTCTTGAAACTATACGAATAAATGATTATGCTGGGTATATAATTACAAGTAATCAGGATGCTCCACTCAAAATAAATATAGGTGATTCTCGTATAGTTTGTTTTGATGTCTCTGCACGCTATAGAGGTAATATAGCATATTTTGACCGGCTAGAAGAAATACTAGACCATCCTGATGCATCAGAAGTAGTAATGGCATACCTTCTTAGCCGTGACTTATCAAATTGGAGTCCAGGAAAAATTCCTTCTACAAAAATGAAAGTAGATACAATGCAGGACCAGCTTCCTAATCCCATTCGATTTATAATTGATTATATTACACTTTGGTCTATTGATAATGTAGATAGGAGAAGTCGTATAGTACTTTATCAAAATTATCTTGATTGGTGTGAAGAGAATGGTGAAAAACTATTGGCTAGTAAAGTTGCCGGAAAGAAGTTTTCTCAAATTGGAATTGAGAGTAAACAGATACGAGCGGGTAGTGGAAAAAGAGAATGGCAATATATTCTCAACCGCACTAAAATTATAGCCAAGCTTTATGAATCTGGCCTAGATGATATTAAAGAATTTTCTGAAGATACATCTCAATCTGACTTACCTGAAAATAAGACAGCAGACATACCCATATTTAATATATCAGAAATTATTCTCCCAAAAATAATCCTGTCTCAGCTAAAAAAGAGTACACCTTCACCTAAAACTAGTAAAGATAAGAAGACAGATAAACAGAACAAATTAAGCCAGAACCTTTTCGACTATGTAGCAGAAGATACCCATGCTCCTGTCACCTCAACATCTGGAACATCTGGTAAATCTGTGATTTCTAAAACACCTGAGCTAGTAATTGATGAACCTAAGACTAGCAAGCTTCCCGATTCCAAATCTATTAGTGAAGCTGTGAATATACCTCTTAAAGAGATCCCAACTGATTCCCCAAAGCCTATCAATCAAGTATTATCTGCCATTCTTATATCCAGAGCCCAGCGAGAAGAACATCTCAGGAAATGGGCAATCAATCATAGTGAAGATTCTGATGTATTCGTGATTATCACAGAAAAAGATAGGCTCAATTCTATTGCATTCTGAGATAGAATGGAAACTGATTCTCGAATGTGTAGTTACGCAGTAGAGTTAGAAAAAGATCCCAAAGAATATATAGACATGAAAGTACAGGAAAGATTGATAGGAGAAAAAATAATCTGTCGTAGATTTGAGAATGATGGAGTCACAACCTCATGGCTTGATACCGATAAGAAATGGCAAAAAACAGTAAGTATATTCCAGGAGAATGGTATGCTTTGGTAAAGAGCAAATAAGAAGCCAGTTTATAGGTAAGGTATTTGGATAAGAGGGTCTATTTTTCTTTATAACTAGGTGATATAAAATTCTGAATTATTATTTTTTCTTGTTCATTCGGGAATATTTTTTTTCAAATTAAACTTTTTTGTACATAATATAAAGTTAGTATGTTTTAATATTTTCGACTATACTGTCGTAAAACAATATGGCAAAAATTGCTACAGATTTTATGAATCGCCATAAATGGACTTCCGAAACTCCATTACCTGAACTAGCTAAATACACTGAGGAAATTAACGAAAGTTTGAAGAATAATCGCAAGGTAAGATTCAATGTCAAAATGTATTTTTGATAATTAGGGCTTACTAAAGAACAAGTAGAAGTTTTCATTCCTATTCGACCTTCTGGAAAGCATGAAGAAGGCAGGGCTACTGTTGATAAAATTGCTTAAGAAATTGTGGATAATGATTATTCATCTGAGAAAATAAAACAAATTTTATATAATTTGGGTAGTTCTACGCCTAATCCAGTTGCTGGAAGTTCACAACTTACTTTATTATGAAAAAAATTATAGGATTGTGAAGCTGATCATCTCAAAAAGAAGCGACCAAAATTCCTCATATTACTACTGAATCAAATGAAATTCAGGCACGACAGCTTATACTTGACAAATTTGAAGGTGTCGATTGGTCTGAACACTTTTTCTTAGAACCAGTTCAGGAAAGACTCAAAAAATGTGATTTCTCTTTATCACCTTCTAAGGAAGATCTGGTTGATGTAATGATAATGTTAAGCATGCGACTGGCAGATGTGACAACTCTTCGTATTGACAAATATGAAGTATCAGATAAAATATGATATAAGCCTAAATATTCCTGGTATTATACTGGCTACTCTAAAACTAAAGTAGAAACAGGAATAGGGGAACCTTGACCTTTCGTCTCAATGGAAAAAGATCCAATACAAGCAAAAGAGTTTCTTACTTAGATTCAGAAAGCAATACCAGAAAATTTCCCTTCTTATGAAAAACAAAAGCATTAAAGTTAATGTAAATCCAATTAATCTTATTCTAGCTAAATATGGAATTACTTCGAATAAATTGAGAAAGATAGGAGCAGATCATGCTAGCAGGATCCATGGAGGTAGGAACGATTCTCACTGCCAATATTTACGAAAGTTGGC